ATTTCGGGGCTAAAAAGTTCCAATGTCAGATTTTTCTGGGACCCTGGAGGCAAAACTCTATCTAATGCCTTTTGTTCCATGTCTCTAGCCCTTCTAGAAGTACCCGTACTTTTTACCACCTGAGAAGTAGCTATATATATATAATGTAAAATATGATGGTTTTTGATGAGTTATACGATATATGAATAAAATATAGAATTATTAAGGGAAATTCAAGGTACTGCGTAGCCTAGTGGTTAGCGTGGTAGTCTCATAGCCAGAAGGTTATTGGATCAATGCTTGCCTGGATGTTGTATTTTTCTTTTTTTGGATTATTTTAAAAATTTTTTTTTTATTTTGTTTAAATTTTGTGTTTTATTTTTTTTTAATATATAACTGATAAATGTTATATAAAAGTTTAAAGAAAATTTCCAAAAAAATATTCTTATAATAGTTTGGAAAAATTCGCAAAAATTTTAAGTACATAAATATGTATGAAGTATGTATATTTTTTTTAAAGCTTACTGAGTAATTTTTTTAAGCTTTCTATATGAATTTAATAATATTCAAAACTGTAGAATAAATAGAAATAAATTTTAAACGCATAATTATTATATCATGGGGGTAAAGTTACAAAAATTAATTTCTCAAATAAGGAAAAGGTTTAGTCAAAAACAAAATAATAATTTATGTATGTAAAAATATATGTAAGTATGTATATATGAATACATGTGTGTATGTATATATGAATGGATTAGAATTGAAGATTTTAAAATTTTTCGTTCCAACATATGAACGTATGTACATATGAATGTATTAGAATCGAAAATTTTGAAATTTTGCTGTTGGAAAAATTATAAATAAAATTATAAATGCAAATATACATAATTATGAATGGATACCTGTTTTTTTTAAACTGTGGGTAAACATATAGGATTGAATTTTAAACATAAAGAAAAGGTTTAGTCAAAAACAAAATAATAATTTATGTATGTAAAAATATGTGTATGAATGTATATATGAATATATGTGTGTATGTATGTATATATGAATGTATTGGAATTTAGCATTTTTTACAGGTTTTCGCTCGAACAATAAAAATAAAATTTTAGGTAGATACATACGTACATAAATTGTGTATGTATATTTTTTTAAAGCTTGCTGACGAAACATAATATTCAAAACAATAACAAATGAAGCATTAATATTCAGTTGCCACAAAACATCTGCTGTCTTTTATAAAATCTGACATTTATTTAAGTTTATTTCGATTTTTCGAAATTAAAATATATGTGAGATCATTGCATTTTCAAATATTATTTATTTCTCGGTTTGTGTTTCTAATAATAAAAATAACGTAAAACGTATCATTTATTTCTTGGTTTGTGTTTCTAATTATAAAAAGTATAAAAGAAAAACGTGCTTTTGTTATACAAAAATTTTTTCAGAAAATCTTAAAATAGAGTTATTTCGGGGCTAAAAAGTTCCAATGTCAGATTTTTCTGGGACCCTAGAGGCAAAATTCTACCTAATGCCTTTTGTCCCATGTCTCTAGCCCTTCTAGAAGTACCCGTACTTTTTACCACCTGAGAAGTAGCTATATATATATAATGTAAAATAGGATGGTTTTTGAAGAGCTATACGAAATATGAATAAAATATAGAATTATAAAGGGAAATTCAAGGTACTGCGTAGCCTAGTGGGTAGCGAGATAGTCTGATAGCCAGAAGGTTATTGGATCAATGCTTGCCTGGGTGTCATATTTTTCTTTTTTTGGATTATTTTAAAAATTTTTTTTTATTTTGCTTAAATTTTTTGTTTTATTTTTTTTATTTAATATATAACAGATAAATATTATTATAAAAATTTAAAGAAAATTTCCAAAAAAAAATTGTTACAATAGTTAAGTACATAAATATGTATGTATATATTTTTTTAAAGCTTCCTAACTAATTTTTTTAAGCTTTCTATATGAATTGAATAATATTCAAATTTGTGGTTTGGCATATAGAAACACATATGTAATTATTAAATCATGGGGGAAACATAAGAAATAAATTTTTCAAATAAAGAAAAGGTTTAGGCATAAATAAAATAATATTTTTATTCAAATATATGTATTAACATTAATGTATTAGAATTGAACATTTTAAAATTTTTTGTTCAAAAAATTTGAAATAAAATTTTAAGCAAAAACGTACATAATTATGAATGTATACCTATTTTTTTAAAACTGCGGGTGAACATATAGAAATAAGTTTCTCAAATAAAGAAAAGGTTTAGATAAAAACAAAATAATAATTTTATTCAAATATATGTATGTACATATGAATGTATTAAAATTTAGCATTTTACAGTTTTTCGTTTGGAACAATAATAATAAAATTCTAACTACATACGTACATATAATCTGTATGTATATTTTTTTAAAGCTTGCTGACGAAACGTGATATTCAAAACAACAACAAATGAAATATTGATATTCAGATGCCACAAAACATCTGATGTCTGATAAAAGCTGACATTTATTTACGTTAAGGTTAATTCGTTTATCCGCAACAAAAATATGTGAGATCATTATATTTTCAAATATTATTTATTTCTCGGTTTGTGTTTCTAATAATAAAAATAACGTAAAACGTATCATTTATTTCTTGGTTTGTGTTTCTAATTATAAAAAGTATAAAAGAAAAGCGTGCTTTTGTTATACAAAAATTTTTTCAGAAAATCTTAAAATAGAGCTATTTCGGGGCTAAAAAGTTCCAATGTCAGATTTTTCTGGTACCCTAGAGGCAAAACTCTACCTAATGCCTTTTGTCCCATGTCTCTAGCCCTTCTAGAAGTACCCGTACTTTTTACCACCTGAGAAGTAGCTATATATATATAATGTAAAATAGGATGGTTTTTGAAGAGTTATACGAAATATGTATAAAATATAGAATTATAAAAGGAAATTCAAGGTACTGCGTAGCCTAGTGGTTAGCGTGGTAGTCTGATAGCCAAAAGGTTATTGGATCAATGCTTGCTTGGATGTTGTCGTATTTTTTTTTTTTGGATTATTTTAAAAATTTTTTTTTTATTTTATTTAAATTTTTTGTTTTATTTTTTTTAATATATAACAGATAAATATTATTATAAAAGTTTAAAGAAAATTTCCAAAAAGATATTGTTATAATAGATTGGAAAAATGCATATAATAATATTGTTATAATAGATAAATGAAAAATGCAAATTTCTATATGAATTGAATAATATTCAAAACTGTGGCTTGCTATATTGAAATAAATTTTAAATGCATAATTATTAAATCATGGGGGTAAACATACAAAAATTAATTTTTCAAATCAAGAAAAGGTTTAGTCAAAAACAAAATAATAATTGTATTCAAATATATGTATGTACATATGAATGTAATTTTTCAAATAAAGAAAAGTTTTAGGCAAAAACAAAATAATAAGTTTATTCAAATATATGTATGTATGTACATATGAATGTATTAAAATTTAGCATTTTACAGTTTTTCGCTTGGAACAATAAAAATAAAATTCTAACTACATACGTACATACATATATTATATTCTGTATGTATATTTTTTTAAAGCTTGGTGACGAAACATAATATTGAAAACAACAACAAATGAAGCATTATTATTCAGATGCCACAAAACATCTGATGTCTTTGAGAAAAGCTGACATTTATTTACGATAAAATTATTTCGCTTTTCCGAACCAAAAATATGTGAGATCATTATATTTTCAAATATTATTTATTTCTCGGTTTGTGTTTCTAATAATAACGTAAAACTTATCATTTATTTCTTGGTTTGTGTTTCTAATTATAAAAAGTATAAAAGAAAAACGTGCTTTTGTTATACAAAAATTTTTCCAGAAAATCTTAAAATAGAGCTATTTCGGGGCTAAAAAGTTCCAATGTCAGATTTTTCTGGGACCCTAGAGGCAAAACCCTATCTAATGCCTTTTGTCCCATGTCTCTAGCCCTTCTAGAAGTACCCGTACTGTTTGCCACCTTAGAAGTAGCTATATACATATATATAATAACGAATGTATAGCATATCGAATTTAACGTAAAGCAAAATAATTGCATATTGACTCCTGTTCCAATGCTAAATTATTCAAATTCATAAAAATGTAAACACACGATAAAAAATTTAGAAAAGTTTGCAATTTTTCAATTTCCAAAAAAATACATTTTCTTTTTAGAAGTTCGTTGCTTCTTTAATTAATACCCTGGCTTCCATATTGTAAAAAAAATGTTTTCGCTGCAATGTTTCATGTTCTATATTGTATTTCAAAAGCCTTCGACGAAGTAGTAACTTCCAAATTGTTATGAAACCGTTTTGAATACGCAGAAAAATGCAGAGAGCGCCTAGAAAATGCTTTTCGTCAATTTTGCATAAACGGCGTTGGAATTGCCATTCAATGTAAAATTTATTAGATATTTCTATTTGCGTCAAATTGGATTTTTAGATTAAAGTAAAGCTGACAATACTGATTGAAACAGAATATTGGGTGTAAAATTGGTAATAAACTTCAGGTTTAAAAATAAAAATAAGTTAATGAATAAATAAAAATGTACATATTATGCATATTCTAGATACAAATTAATTTTGCTAAGAAAAAAGTCGCTCTTGCTATAGTTGTCACTAGAAGGAATTAAGTTTGAAATAAAACAAATATTTTCTTTCAACTAAAAATTAATAAATTCTGGATTCATGAAGTTAATACTATTGCATAAATAATTTTTTTGTCTTATTAAAGTAAATAATTTTCGCATAAATACATATGTATAATGGGAAACATCCATTTTCGTATCCAAATGCTAATAAAAATTTTGAATTATGCTGCATTTTTCTGAATAATTTTTGTAAAACAATTAAAAGTATAATCATAAAGAACGCTACTTTTTTAAATAAAATCACAAAACTTTGTTTGTGTACCTTTACATATACTTGCATCGCCAATAAACAAAATTTTTTGATCTTTAATATTCAGTATTAGTATTATGCATTACTAAAATTTAACTTCTTGTTATTACCAAACATATTCAAAATTTTTAGGAATATCGTGAGTAAGAGCAACATTTGAGATCAAACTTAAAACAATCATCAAAAAGAAGCTTTTTTGCAACAAAGTTTTAAAAGACTTTGTTTTAGGTATTTTTTAGTGTTTTGACCCAACATTTTCAGCTGATGGACATATTATTTTTGCAGCATTATGTTATATCAAAATGAAGGTCAGAACTCATACCTCGCTTTCCTGTTGAAAGACGTTAGGTTACTACTGAGTTAGTTATTATTGTCAATTAGATTAAAGGAAAATTTGTTGGAAAGATTTTTTAAAAATTTTTACTTTGCACTTAAAAATCCCTGAAGAGTATTTGACACCAGTGATAAACCGTTAGAAAGGGGATTCAATAAGCTTCAAAATGAGTTTGAATGGTTGGGTTTACCTGATGTATTTTCTGAGCCATCGAAAAAATGTTAAAATTAGACTATTTTAAGAAATTTTAACTTCAAGGCTTCACAGCTCGGGAAGGAGTGTCCAAAAAGTTAAATGTCTGTACGTGTTTCTATCACCGGGTGGGAGTACTGTTGGGTCCCGAATATATAGCATATATTTATATATACAGCATATATATAACAAAACATTTACTAAAATCAACATACACAAAGTATTAAATCTGCAAGCATAAAATATTTTTAAACGAGTCTCATTGGCGCGGGTCAGAGGCGAGAGCCGAAGGGAGATGAGGTCTAATTACTCTTAAAAATGGCCTCCCTGCCAGTTGCAAACGAAGAACTTAGTGACAGTTAATTGTTATGCTCAGCCAAATTCTCCGTTTGAAATTTATAATAAACTCTCGCTGGCAGGTGTATAATTTGTTTAGGAGTCTAAATGTAACAGATGAGGATATTGTTTGTGGCGGTGTTAGTATTTCTAGTTTGAGTTAGAGTGGTCTTGACAAAGGGCCTTATCTGATCCTAATTGCTATTACAGCTGACTTTGAGATGTCTTTTATAGACTCAATCCGCCTAAAATGCCTTTAAAAGATCTCTTTTGTTCTAAATCATCAATAAAACCAATTTACTTATTTTTTACTTCCGACTGATGTAAGATTTTTTTTATCGAATATCCTGACCTTTTGAACGATTTTTTTTCGACCTATGATTTTTCTTTAGTATTTGAATCAGCACTCTGCTTCCCCAGAATATCAATAAGAAGAAGATGAAAAATAATCTCGAGGAACTGTGCAGGAGTTGAATGCAATTCTATCTTCCAAACACATCAATGCCATCTTCACCATTGTACGCAATTATTTGTCAAGAAAAAGCTTTTCCGGAATAGAATTTTACGGTTACCAATCTGGTAACCGAAACTTCAATTTTCTATCCGAAACTTCTATTTTCAATAATGGCATGGAAGATGAATATTAGACTGACGTTATTTATACCGATTTCAGGGTAGCTTTAGATTTTCTTCCTCACGAAATAATTATTTTAAAATTAGGACTACGTGGTTTTACCTAACAATTTGATAAATTACATAAACTCATACTTAGGGAGGAGATGTTCAAGAGCTCAAGGGTTGCAAGGTCTCCTCCTTTGAAGGAAGTTAGAAGGAAAACCATACATGGTTATAAAGAAAGTATGAAGAAGACAACAAAAGTAAAACCTCTGATGGTAATTTAAAAGGGCAGTTACATTTGGAAAAGTGGACCAATCGTCGATTCGAGTACAAGCGATTTGAGGAACAGAGGTTCCTCTGTAAAGGCTGAAAAATGATCTGCAAACTTAAGACAGGAAATTTAAAATTATTGGGACAGCCGAAAGCAGTTGCAAATGACTGAAAGACAAAATAAGTCGAATCGTGTATGAAACAAATGAGAGGAAAAGTTGGCTAGAGAAACCGATTGGATTCTTTAAACCAAAAGAAACTTAAAGCAGAGAAAGCCAAGAGTTCACCAAAAATTGAACCGACACTAGAAATAATTAGCACTAACGTAGAAAAATCTCAATCAAGGAGAAATACTCAAGTTAAAAAACATAAACTTCCGCCGATAATAATAAGTAATATAACTTTTACACGGAGTTAATAAGGATCCTCTTAGAGAAAAGTATTGTTGTGAAGGTAAACATGATGAACAATGATCAACTAAAAATAAATGTTGAAAATGAAAATGAATATAGACAATTAACTAAAGCTGCTATTAAAGTCAAATTGTGAATTCCATACGTTGCTTATAAAAATAAATTGATAGGGTCAATTAAAGTAATGGCCAGAAATCTACATCCACCAAGTGAACCACAGGATATCAAGTGTGAAAGAAAAAAGGATTGAAATGCGTAGATACAATAAAAAAAATAAAAAAAATAAAGGGAAATGAGGTAAATAGTATTAGAAAATTACCCTTTTCCACGTCCTTCGACTATACCGAAGATAAAGGTAAAATACATAAAATAGAATATCATAGCACATGTAGTAAAAGTTGAGCCTCTTAGAAGTAATGGATTCATTAAGATTACTTCTAAGATACTTGATGGATGAAATTGGCTAAAATTAAAATTATCGAGACATATATTAGCAATCAATTAAAAAACTACTTACATAATGAAAATCTTACGTGTGAGCTACAATATGGTTTTACAAAAAAGGCTAACACTAATGCTGCGTTATTTGACGTAATAACTTATATACAAAAAGGAATTTATATACAAATGGAATAAAAAATAATTATAACAATATGGTTTGAATGTGGAATAAATGGAAAAGAATTAGAATGGTTTCAAAACTACTTTCAGGACAGAAAACAATATTCACAATGCGAAATATTAGAATGCAAAATCAAAAGTATTGATGAAGGTATTGAAAAATCGAACAACTTCGGTGTTATACAAGGTAGTGCACTAGGACCAGCGTTATTTTCATGTTACATAAGCAGCATTACTAAACTTAACTTACGTGGTACAATATTTTTGTATGCGAATGACCTGGTGTTTCTATACCGAGAATGTAACATTGCTATTCTACAAGAATAAAATGCATCAACATGTAAAAAATGTAACAATGATGTATCAACAAAAACTAACAGTAAGTGTTGACATGACCAAATACATGTTATTCAAAAAGTACAAATTATTCTAATAAAATATGATAATTTTTCCATAAAAAAGGTCTGTAGATACAAGGATCTTAGAATTACAATAGATAATATGCTACATTAGAACGAACATGTAAATGAATTAATACCAAAAGTTGCAAGAATAGCAGTTTGTTCAACAAAATTGGTAAAAGAATACCATTGGCTGTGAAGAAATTCTTGCTACAGCTTATTTCATAATATCACAATATTGTATGGTATTAGCATAAGGGGTAATACATACAGCAAAAACATAAATGAGTTGCAGGAAATACAAAACAAGGCAATTAAAAACTTATATGGATTAGATAAAAGAACGCCAACTAATTTCATTCACATAAATTATTAAATATTCAAATTAGATGAATTCAAAATTTTTATGCAAATATTGCAAGTTTATCAAATGAAAAACAACAATATAAAAAGCAATACTGTGTTAACAACGAACTCCGAAGTTCATCAATATAATACAATCATTTACGTTTCACCGAGCAAACAATTGTAATGGTTTTGAACCAATTATGAATTCGGCAATATTTCAATACAATAGATTACATGAAAGCATCAAATCTTTAACTCTAAAATAAAATTTAAAAATGAAGCGCAAAAAGAGCTACTTAAATAATACAACGGATAATGAGCAGCAAAGGCAATACCGGTACTGAGTAAATAATTAGACAATTTTATAAGTTTAATATTTTATAAATTCATAATTAATTTTGGCTTTTGATTTCAATTTTCTTTTTTAAAATTAAAAGTTTTACTTTTGTGAATTTAAATAAGCTATTTATATAAATTCTATAAATTTTGGCTTTTTAATTTACTACTGCTTTATCTTTTTCTTTAATTTTTTTTTAAATTTGATGAACTATTAATACTAATGGAAACCGATTATTTTACATTTCTTTAAATTAAACTCTTGTATATTAACATACTTAATAAATCACATTCTGTATTAGCAAAATTGCTCTCTTAAGAGATATAAATTAACAACAAAAATGGACAAATTTTCCATGAGGCTAAATAATAGGTAATCAGTGCTAAAGTATCAAAACACAGCGCAATATCAAGGTATGATTTTGGATGTCAAGCTCAGATGGAAAAAACATATAAAGAAGAAAAGAATAGAATAAGAAAACAAAAGTATAGAAAACTATTGACTCCTAGGTCGTAGCTCTGATTTGTCAACATATAATAATTAATAAGGTGTATAATATAACGAAATCAAAAAGCCTATTTGAACATACTTAGCACATCAAACAAATGCAAGCTTTCCAGAACGAGGTCCTTCGTAATGTGACAGGTGCTTTCTGGTATGACGGGTGCTTTCTTTCTGGTAGGGCTAAAATTCCTCACTATTGATATCGATAATTTGTCTTTGAATCATTTTTAACAGCTGAATTAAAAAAAATATTTTTGTCCATTTCATAAGAATAAGTACAAAAATCAGTGTCTGGGGTGAAATTTAAATTTTCTTAAATTTGATATTTAAACACGTTCAAATTAGTGTAATTGTAATCTGGATATAGCTGGGAATGGGAACGGTTTTGAAAATTAATATCAATTAAATTAGGTTTAAATTTTTTTCTGTAAATTTGTAAAAAGATACATACACACGGGCTATGATTTTCATTTAAACTATTTCATGCTAAATTTGTAATTTTGCATTACATACTTTACTTTGCAGCATAATAATACATGCGGGATTGATAAATTTTTGATTGTACAAAAATAAAAAAAAATTAATCCAATAGTAGAATGTTTAATATATGTATTATTTATTGTAATAATATCTTTACTCTAACTTTATAAAAAAAAATTTAAACAAAATTCAAGTTGATGTTGATTTTCGCCTACGATAATACAAATTGAGATCGATGTGTTTTACTTTACGTTCACGTTCAGAAAGAAACGTCATTTCTTCTTTTAACAATTTCTTTACAAAATCTCTACATATGCATATTCAAACTGTTTCAAAATAATTTGAGAGCCAATTTAACATGATATACAAGACTCTAAATTCAATGTTAAATTAAAAATACAGTGTGTCAGCGCCCACATTCGGACGTCCTGCATCAAAATCGCTTCTAATTGTTCTGAATCGTATTCTTAATCCATATCCATTTTGTCTGCACTACATTCAACTTTGATGACCTTCCTTTTCAACAGTGCATTGATCAAAACTTTTATATGCTATTACGCGATAAGGACCTAAAAACTTTTTTTTTATATTGCGATCAAATTTCCTTTTATTTTCAGCTTGTATGTTTGCTATATCCTTTTTTGTTTGCTCTCTTAGTTCAGTTCTTTCGTTTTAAAATTGTTCAGCACAGACATATTCGTATCTTGTTGTGTTTTCATTTTGGTTCCAAACATTAATGGTCGGGTCTGTATGGCCCGATGAAACGAGTTATTGAAAAGATTCATTGCAAATCGGTTACGTGGGTAACCATTTTTCTAGTTTTTAATGATAACTTAGTTAACACTGTAATTGTTGTGGTATGCAGTCGCTCTACCTGATCATTACCTCTCTGTACTACTGTTGAAATAACGTGGATTTGGTACCATACGTTTTACAATTGTCACGAAATTGGTTGGAAATAAATGCTCCCCTCCATCTGTAATAATTCGTATTCGTAATACGGGTAACCGAAAGTGTTTGAAATAATTTCAGATTTCTTGATTGTTTCATCAGCATTCATACTTTTTGTGGGAAATAGCCAGCAAAATTTTGAAAAACCAACAACGGCTAGAATATTTCTGCATCTCTTTTTAGCAGCGCTCATCGGGACCAAATGATCGATATGAAAAGTTTCCAGTGGTTTATCGCCTTTCGGAATAGGGTTAAATAAACATTCTGGTTTTCTATTTTTCTTTCAGCTAAGATGCAATGGATACAGCTGGCTAAACAGAAATTGATTCCTTTCTTTAAATCAGGTAGGTAAAATTGTTCAATTTTATTTTTTATTTTAATATGATGAAAATGACCATCTTCGTGAACAGTAAACTAGTAAGTTTTTCATGCCGTCTGGTACAACATATAATAAATTTTCATTTACAGTTTTGCGCAGAATATCGTGATGTATGCTTAAATCTTTGTATGGACAATTTTTCAAAACTTCAACAATGTCATTTAGTTTTTTTCTTTGCGCTTCCTTTAACTATTTACTATGGTCCTATTAATTTGAACACCAAAAGATACTGGCTTTCTGCTGAGTGCGTTTACATGTCTAACTTTTGAGCTTTCTCGGTGTTCCACATAGAACTCAAACCCTTCTAGTAGTTGGGACCAACGCGCAATTCTGGTAACCAAGTCTTTTTTCTTTAAAGTCGTCGTAAATGCTCTGCAATCTGTAACGAGCTTAAAGTGTTTGCCAAGTAAAAACGTTCCAAATTTCTAACATCATTTTTGATTTTTTTATATGTATTAGTTTCTTCTTTAGTTCGGTGAAAGTTTGTGTGCCATATAAAATCGTTTTGTTACTGGGTGTGTCATTTATGCTGTTAATAGCATAGCTAATTACAGACAGTTCATCAATTTCAGTTTGAGCAGCAATATCTATCATTTAATAAAGGTATTCGTGAAATGTTTCATTAGTATTCTTTTTCCTCATTTGCAGCCATTTATGAATTTCTACACTAAAAATCTTAGGCGAAAATTTCTCAAGTAATGATTGTCTTAATGATCGTTTTCGCTATTCCATTTACGCGCACTCATAGTTTCTTTGCCACTGAATTTTCATATTAACATTTCGAAGTTTATGAAACTAAATTTAATCCTCGAATCATCAAAATGTGCTGATTCATAAATGCCTTCAACAAAGGTCGGTCGATTACTGCTTTGTGGGCTGAGTCTGCGTCTTGATTCCATTCTTCAATTAATTTATCTTAAAGGATATATATAAAACACAAAATTATAACGATAAAAAAAATATAAAATTTCAATCTCACGTAAACTGCCTTGGCCTTTGATAAAAATTTACCACGTGGTAATATTAAGATTTAATCGAATCATTTAAACTTTACTTCAACAAAGTTAAAAAAAGTTGTTTTTATTTTTTTTTTTTAAATTTCGAAAATTTAGATTGAAGTTTTTAAAGCAATTTAAATTCAACTTTAAAATATTAATGCCAACGTTACTTATATATATTAAAATTTTGTTACTATTTTATTTTTTGTATATTTCAGCCACCATAACCGGAATATATAATTACAGCAAAATACTATGATGTTATTCAAAAAATATCGTATTCAGAAATCATGTACTTAAAACATTCAATCTTCCTTAATAACAGTTATACAGATTTATTTTTTATTACTACCGCAAACCCGTAAATAATGAAGTTTTTTTTTGTTAAATCACGTTTCATTTTTTTTCAGTAATCAATAATTGTAAAGTATATTTTCGAAACTTACTTGCTATACCACGGATTTGCCAGATTTCAACTTTACGATATTACCATCATCCACGTGTTGTCTTTTCAGCATCGTAATATTGTTTTCAATTATAGTTCTAGATTTTTATTTCCACCAGCACTGTTCATTCACGTTTTCACGATCCAATAGCTTGTAAATTTGATTAAATAGTCTTTTCAATCAAAAATTCATGATTTAAGTTTAAAGTTATATTAATTAATTCATATATTTTAAGCTTAATCTCGGTTGAGTCCCCTATGTCCCCTATGGGATTGAGAAATTTTTGATTGTCCAAAAATAAAAAAAAATTAATTCAATGGTAGAATGTTTAATATATTTTTTATTTTGCAATATTATTTATTGTTAGAGTTATTATTAAATATACTAATTATTCTTTACTTTAACTTTATGAAAAAAAATTTTAACAAAATTAAAGTTAATGTTGATTTTCGCCTACGATATTAAAAATTGACATTGATGTGTTTTACCCTACGTCCAAATCAGAAAGAAACATCATTTCTTCTTTTAATGATTTCTTTACAAAAATCTCGACACATATTCTAACTGTTTCAAAATTATTTGAGAGCCAATTTAATATGATATACTAAGACTCTAAATTCAATTTCCAATCGTTTGTATAGAAAACAAGAGAGTTATCGACATCATAAAAAAAACACGAAATGCAATAAGTATATATGTATAATGAAAAGAAAAAAAATGCATGGTAAATTAAAAAACAGAGTGTGTCAGTTTTTAGCGCCCACATACATATATTCATACATATTGAAAATAGATTCAAGTAAATAATGAAATCATTTTGTTTAAACTTTCGTTCACAGTTTTGTAAAAATTTTCGTATAGGAGAAAAATGTTGTGAATTTGAATGCCTTGACCCTCCTGGTGAAGATAATCTATATAGTGTATAAAAAACAACATGTTTTAATAGTTTTTGTAAATTCAAATGATATTGATATTTTCTAGGTAAGAATGAAGAAAAAGGCCCAAATTTTAGCTGGGAACAGTACCAATTCATCAAATGATAATAAGTCTTCCATTTTAATTTTACATATTTTAATTATAAATAGTTTTAATTATAAATTTTACTGTAAAATCATATTATAATTAAATGCATAAATTTCAATGTATATTTTAATTTAAGAATTTAAGGTGTGGAAAATATAAACTACATATGTATATATTTACAATAAAAACCAGCAGTAAATTGTTTACAGTTTTGTAAAATTGAATTCAATAAAAGCGCATATGAAATATATAAAATCTATTCAATATTTTAAATATGTATACTTACAATATTTCAAAAGCTTTAAGTTTTTCTTTGTACCTGCTCAAATATCAGTACGTTACAGTATTTTGTAATTTTTTTTTTATTCCCGCTGAGAGCTCACTGGTAAATACATTACATAATGCATGTATGTACACATCTTTTTAAAATTTTTACTTGTTAATAAAAGTTATATATGTATGTACGTTACTTTCTTTTCGTGCAATCAAGAATAAACAAGTACTCAAAACTAATAATGTACGAAATATCAGTTTTGCATCCCCTTATGGGAAAAATTTGTACATATGTACATATGTATATCACCCTTTTCGCAGTTAAATGACATCAACTTGGAGTAGCTTGTAATTTATCTTTTCTGGTACAGTTAAATATTAAAGTATGTGTCACCCGTATCTTACAATTTTAACATTATTTCATCAGACTTTGTCTGACGCACATAATAGAGATTTATCTCTCATCAGACAAATTGTCATTTTTTCAAAATATAGTAGCCAAAAATAATTTTTTGTGGAAAATTAAAAGGGAAATCAGCTGATTTTTATTTTGAATTTAATTTTCATAGCAAAATTATTAAATATTGGCCTTCACATAAATATTAAATGTTGGCCTTCATATAATTTCAGTCTGATATGTAAACAGCCATCAGACTTTATCGTACATACATATGTATATATTTTTTTTAGATTTTGTCTTATATGACAAGACAGTGTAAAGAGATAATTATGCAATATCACATTTTATGGATATCTAAAAATCATAGTGTTAAAAATAGAATATTATTTTATAAAAGCTTATAAAAAAATTTAACAAGTGGAAAAAAGAAAAAATCTGTTGAAAAAGAAAATTATGTATAAATTGTTACTCCCATTTGTAAAAACATTCATAAAAAAGGAAACAAAACCGTATGCAATAATTTAGAGGAATAACCATACTAAATACTGCATACAAGATACTATCTAATGTAATATATGAAAAAATAAAACCATATGCTGAAGAAATCATAGGAGAGTTTCAATGAGGATTTTGAAGTGGTAGATCAACTGTAGACCAAATATTCACAATAAAGCATATCGTGGAAAAATGTTATAAATATAATAAAAATCTACACATATTGTTTATTGATCTTAAACATGTATTCGATAGTTTAAGCAGAAACCGAGTATTAGACGCACTCATAAATCAAGGAGTGCCCAAAAAACTTTCTAACTTAGTAATGATGACAATGAAGAATTCGAGAGCAAAAATATTATTACAATCTATATTATCATCTGAATTTAATGTTTAATCGGGCGTAAGACAAGGTAATGCACTTTCGACCTTATTATTTATCATGGTATTAAATTATGCAATTGAAAAATTGGGTAAACGAAGAAACATTTTTCTAGAGTCCCATCAGATAGTTGCGTATGCTGACGATATAGCTATTATGTCAAGAAGTTATAGAAATATGGCAGAAGTTTTCATTATGTTTGAAATAGAAGAAGAATAAGTGATGACGAGTATGAAAGAAGAAATAATGACGAGTTGAGCCAATTAATTGGGCTTGAAGATATTCCACGTTATGCGAAGTCACAGCGCTTAAAATGGGCTGGTCATAATATCAACCCAAAATAACATCTTCCGTGCAAAACCTATGGGTCCAAGAGCAAAAGGTCGACCAAAGACTAGATGTTAAATTAAAATTACACAAGAGGAGATAATTTTACCAGGACCGGATTTTTTTAAGCAAAATGAGTTTGTGTTTGATAAAGTGTGGCATACAAACAAATATTTTAAATGATCTTTCTTTTTTGTATTATATTTTTACAGTTTTTCTAGAAATGATAAAAAGAAATGATGAAATGAAATATATTTCCCTTTATAGAGTGAAGATTTGGTCACCAAAAAGATATATGAAGGCGTCCCGATGCCGTTGTCAGTAAGTAAAACAAAACATTAGTGGGAAATATTTATAATTAATATATTTTGTTTTAGAATGAATTTGTATGTGAAGCTCAATTAATGAATAGTAATAACCTATCTTACTAAAGTAAAAACTTCTACTTCATAGAGTAATTAAAATTTGTTAAATATTATACTGTTTTAGAGTCATTAAAATTTATATGTATTTATATTTATTGTTATTAATATTGTTTAGAGTTGTTCAGTAAAATTGTCAAACAAAACTAATATAAGAAATTAGATAATATAACAAAATAAGATAATACGTATAAGAAATTTTTTAATAAAATATGCTCATTTTCGAGAGTCATAAAATATTGTGATATTAAAATGTATTATTTATTAATAAAGTTGGGTCAAACCAATGGTTTGTATTGTAGCACTTTTCCCTTCAACAAATGAAAATACTGCTTTTAAAAATCTATGTATATCCACCACACTATTAAAATTATTTTCATTCATAAACGAAACTATTTCTAGGATTGCATATATTTAGGATGAACGATTTATGCAGTCTTTGAAATAGATAAAAATTAATATAAAGAGGGGTTAACATAATGCTCGATTTTAAGGTTTAATTATGTGAGTTAAGAAAAATAATTATATTTTTTAATGTCATGGAATTTACCGTTAGCTTTTTGCGTTTATAGAAATTTGAAAAAGCTTGAGGTTTCGGAAATATAAGGTGTCAAAAATTCAAATTTTACGAATTTCAAGAGGCGATAACTTGAGAGGAGGTGGAGATGGAAAAAAATTTTCTTCTAACGAAATAAACTATTTGTTAATGCCTAAAAGCTCCTAAAATTTCAAGCTTCTGCAGGCTAGGGCATAGGAGAAAAACGACATCAAAAATTTGGAAAAAAAGGACTTTAGATAACGGTAAATTTGAACAGCCATTTTGTTTTTCTAAGGTTTAACTATAGTATACCGCGCTAGGGAAAGCCAGCCGCTGCCTTTCTGCGTTTGCAAAATTTCAAAAATGCTTATGGTTTCATTGCAACAAATAGTTAAAATGGGCCATTTTTGCGGCTTTGGGGGGGTATAACTTCTAGAGGGGGGGAGATAGGTAAAAATTTTGTTCTACGAAAATAAGTTCCTAGTAAAGATCTATGCACGTATTAAATTTCAGCTTTCACACGGACAGACGGACGGACGGACGGACGGACGGACGAACGGACGGACGGACGGACGGACTGACGGACGGACGGACGGACGGTCGGGCGGACGGACGGACGGACAGAGTGAAACTAATAAGCACTTTTTTTCAAAAAATTTTTGGAAAAGTGCTAAAAAGAAAAGAATGAGTTAAAATTAAAAAATATTTTAAAATATTCTTTAGTTTTTGGCTTAAAAAAAAATTTAACTTATCCTTATTACAAACTACGCATATTTTATAGTAGAGGCCGGGCAAGATAATAAAATAAATATGCTCCTGTTATAAATTTGACAATGTTCGGAGCAAACAAAGGGGCAACTACAGAAAATTGGTTTCATTATTTTGTCAAAATTTTTTTTTTAATTTGGATTGATACAAAGTTTTTTAAATTCAAGCTGAGAAATAAGTAATTTATTATTTTGATTCAATAACTAATAAAGATTATTTTTTTTTTTGTTTTATTATGTTAAGATTTTCAAAACTTATTTGAAACTAAAAAAAAAGTTTTATAGATTGTCAATTTTTAATAATTTTAATACATTTAAGCAAAACCTTTTCAAAATAAACTCCTAAAAACATAATTTAGAAAGTGTCCATAAATGTGAAAGTAATTTTGCATTAGCAAGGTAAACACATCACATCGCCATGACATCAGTAAATTTTTTGCAACGACCCTGCATCGATCACAATTTGAATACTATACTTTACGATTATCCCCTTACCTTCCGTTCCTGCTATTGTTTATTCTTAAGTAAAATAGGAATTTGAAATGTAAAATTACTTTTCAAATTCCTATTTGATGTTTTCTTTTATTTAAATTTTTGGATAATTTTTTTTCAATATTTTTTAAGGAATTATATCAATAATTGTTATTAGATATTTAAGTTTCTGCAATGCTATTACTTGCGAGGAAGCAGAAATGAAATTATATTGAATAAAATTTAACAATAAGAAGAAACAGCCTTGCAGACGTAGCATTCATCAAATTCCTAGTCCGAAGTACCAAAGAAAATAGTAAATTTCAATATATTTCAATATATTGCCTTTTCTCCCTTTTCTTTCTATCATTATATATGTACATGCTTGTGTACTTATTTTTTATTTTAATCAAATTTTTAAAAGCATAGAAAGTGAGTTTCATTTAGTAATCATCAAATTTATCAACAGTCGGAGTTAAACTCCCCGACCTATTAATAAGCCGTAATTTAAAACCCACCTGGATGGTCGAATCTCAGGATTAGTTCGACTCTGTCATGTTATTTTGCCTGTATCGCTTCGCGCTATGTTTCATGGCACAGTCCTAAATCTCTATGAACGTTACTTTTGCGGACATACCAGGAAAGAGCTACCATATAACGAAGAAGTTGGTTTTGAGTTTTGATATATTTAATATACGTTATATGAGTTTTATAAGTTCTTAATATACTTAGTAATAGTTTGATTTTGTGAAATTCATATGTATATATATTTTTGTTTACATTTATTTTATACTTATGTGCATACGTACTTGTAATATTACAGGCCTTCTGAAATTTTTTGTCGATTGTCCAACATGAGTTTCGCTGCTAATATTGCTGTATCATCACCAAATGCGGGAACTGTTTCATTTTCCACTTCTGGAAAACCACTTGTATAAAATATTGTAATTTCTTACAACTGCAGCCCGAAAATAAAAAATATTTATTAAAACAAATGGCATCAAATATCTAGGGTTTTTTGAACATGATATCTACATTTTTGCCATTTCGAATAAAACACTATTGAAATTTGTTTTGTGTTATTTTTCTTTTACTAAAACATTAACTAGTGAAAATTTGGTAAAGATGGTTTAAAAAGTTAGTATTTTAAAATGTTACTATACCAAATACTACATAGTATTAAAATTTCTACATTATGTATATCAAATAAGACACACTTTTTCCAATTGCAATTGGTATCAATCGGAACTGAATAAGTTCACTTAAATAGTTTTTAGTGTTTTTAAACGTGCGTTTCACTTATATGAAAATAACCAACATTAACATTTAAATATGAAATGTAGAAATGAATATGGGCAGATGCTTCATTTTTAACTTGAAACGAAACAGTAAGAAAACTAGAATACAATTTCATTTCCAAAGATATATGTATATGTATATATTTCAAAGCCTTTTTAGAAAATGTTATGATCTCGAGAAGTGAATAACTGTTAATATCCGATTTTGTCAGAAAAATTTTTAGAACAATTGGTTTGTTATAATAAGGGAACGGATTTTTAGGTGCTAAAAAACTGTCTTTAGGCTCCTAAATAGGTCGAATCATCCCTGCTTCTTCTAATAGTTTTTTTGATCTTGCATGACTCTCAAGTCGTTTATATTTTGAAAATTGAAACATTTATTTATCTCGTTATTTATGTTATCTTTAATTAACTCTTGCAAATTTTTTATTAATGACTTATACATTGGTTTATCAAGTTACTGATTGTATTGTTTATATTTGTACTTCTTAGATAGTTGAATTTTTTCATTATAAAATTTTTTGGAGACATTAGTTCTCTAATTATTTTATTTTCATATTTGAGGGTTGAGTTTTTCAATTTAAATTTTTGAAAACTATAATCAATAGCAATTCTTATTATTTCTTCAATTATATTTATATTGAAATACTTAAATATTTCTTCTAGAAAATTTTCCCCAATTAATTTGGTTATAGTTTCGCCGAAGCTTATGCATTATTTTTTATTAATATAATTCTGTATTATTTTTTTTATATAACTCTGTATTATATTCTTTCTCAATTACTACAAGTACAGTTTTATGATCACTGTCGTAACCTATTCTTTCTAATTTCTCTGTATATAGTTTGTCAATATTTTCAGTCTTGTGTCCGCTAAAGCAAAATATCTCTGTGCGTTCCTGGATGTTCATCTTTTTTGCATAACACAAATTTTAATTTATGTTTAGCATTTTCGGCTTCATCTTCATTTTGTGATACGTATTTTTGGGATCTCGCATAATTTTAAGATTACAATTAACTGCTGCACGTTCAAATTGTTGGCACTTTGTAAATAGAGACAATTTCGATTTTTTTACTAATGTTTCCCAGTGAATTATTCGGTTTTCTATGCTTTATTTTCTTTACATCATTTATTTTAGTATCTGATCAAATTTCTACTAAAAATAATGATGTAAGATATTGATTTTGTTTTAAATGTTTTGTAACAAAGCGGTTAACATTTTCAAATTTAATTTCGGATATATTCAATCCGTTCAAAGTTTCTAAGATTTTGGACGGCTCGTCTGTTGCATCAAATCCTTTTATTACTAATATCTTACTTTTCATTTCAGCCGGTGTAAATGTGTAAAAGTTTTTTGAGTTCTGTTAGCTCCGTTTTAATTTTACTATATTGGTCCAATTTTTCAGTATAAATAACAAATTTACTTTTATTATTTTTTTTTTTTAATTTAAATTGGAATCAAATTAATTTGATTGTCATACACATAAGTTGATGGTATTTTTTTTTCTGTTTTTCATTACTCATGTGTTCATGATTGATTGTGTTATTATTGTTATTTCAAAATAGTTTTGATCTTCATTTGAATCATCATCATCAAATGGTGAATATGATTTTAAACAAATATTTTTACAATCTTCATAACAATGTTACATAATGTGTTTTTTGAATTGCTTGATACAATTGTTTTGCAATTGTTTTTGTAGTTTTGAAACTAATTCATTTAATAATGTCTTTATATCTAAAAAGTCCCAATGCTCAGAGAGAAACTTGAAAGCACGACCTTATTTTATATGGGTTTTTTTAAATCGAAGTGGCAATTTTTTGAGAAGAAATATTAAAATAAATTTACACTTATTATAAAGCAGGTAAAATTCTAAAAATATATTTGAAAAATCAAGAAAATATACTGGTATTAATACTTTCATTCCGAATTATTTTAAAATTCTTGAAACAGCGGAAAAACAACAAGCACAACCTTCGACTTCAACCTTTTATGTGTTACTGAAAGCATTTCATTATTTTTAAGTGAACAGCTTTTTCTTCTCATAGGGTAAGTTA